GCAAAACTTATCAGTTGTTGAATACGCTAATCTTAGAGAATCAACATTTCCGTCATAAATGAGGAAAACTTAACAGTAAAATGATGCTGCAATACTTTCTTTTGTAAGTTAACAAAAAATTTTGTGTAAGCCTTGACAAGTGTAATTGATTTTCTATGCATTTAGATTATTGATATTTGTAAAAAGTACAATCGGCGGTGAGTCTCTTTAATAGTTAACGTTCTCAAAAAGAAAGTTTGAGTTCTACTTTTATGAGACAACTTGATTTTCAATCATTATAGATGAACATGTGAAACTTTTTTCGTTACAGTAAACAGTCGTATGACAATTAACGACGACATAATTGATAGTGTACCAGATTACACACGGTTTTTTACGGTCGATGAGCTTTTCAATCATACACGTGCCGCGGCGCTTCAACATCCGAAACTTACACGATATCAGGTCGTTGGATATTCTCGAAATGCCGAAGCAATTCCAATGTTAAGTATTGGGAATGGATCTAAGTCCGTCTTACTATATGCATGTCCACATCCGAATGAACCGATTGGTTCAATGTTGGTAGACTTTCTACTTGATGCTCTTTTCAAACATACAGAATTACTCATGAAATATACATGGCATCTATTGCCATGTGTCGATCCGGATGGAACAAGACTCAATGAAGGTTGGTTTGTAGGTCCACTTACTATTCGTCTTTATGCACAATATTACTATCGACCAGCTGTAGAAGAGCAAGTTGAATGGACCTTTCCAATCACGCATAAAAAATATAGCTGGAACCAACCACCGAACGAAACACAAGCATTGATGAATGCAATTCAGCTCGCTCGACCAGATTTTGTTTATGGCTTACATAATTCTGGTTTCGGTGGAATGTATTATTATATTAGTCCTCTTATGTCTGATATATTTCCTGAACTAGAACGATTGCCATCTTTACTAGGTTTGTTTCTTGCAACAGGTGAACCGGAAACTCCTTGGATTATTCAATTTGCACCTGGTATCTTTAGATCAATCAGCCTTCGTACGGCATATGATTATTATGAAAAGTATACAAGTAGCGATCCTGCAAGTATAATGAGTGGAGGTGGTACCACTTTTGACTATCTTGAAGATATTGGTTTGAACAATAGTATTTTTTTTATGGCTGAATTACCACATTTTCAATTACCTGCTGCCGCAAATGATACGATTATTCCGAATATGACGCGGCGTGATATTCTATTGTTAGGTCTTGATAAAGACGATGAAAGTAGTGTAATACTCGTAAACTTGCTCGAGCGTATACAAAATATAATGACACTTGAGTCACCCTTCTATCGTGCATCGCGCTCACTATTGAGTTTATATAGAACACGTGCAACTGGCCTTCGCCAAGCACTTATTAATGATAACTCAACTCTTATACCAGCCACAGTTGCTAGTCGAGTGGATGCACTTTATATTTCAATGTTCTACAAAATGCTTGTGGCTAGCATGTTCAATCGTGCAATTTTATTGCAACTCAGTCAATCACCATCGAATGCCAAGATACTCTACGATGCTCATATTGAACTTGAAAGCTATCTCACTAATTGGATTAATGATATTGAACAAAACTTGTCATATTCACCAATTAGTATTCGTAAAGTTGTACAAGCTCAACTTGGTGCAATGTTAGCCGTTCTACCGAAAGTTTATTCGATGTAATATATCTTCTCCTTGCGTACTAAATTGTATTAGATCAGAGTCACACACACGATTACTTTTTTGCCTATTCTTATCCTATTAATAAATAAATGTCCTATGAAAAATGTTTAGAGTTTGAATGACAGTGTCATTTTTTTTTCTTTTAAATCATATTCAGAATATATACACATCGATCCTTTCGTATTCTGGATTCCTTCCGAAATGAGAAGTTCTCAGTTGTCGTCCTTCATTTTCTTGTTACAGCCTGCTGAGAAATTCTTATAACGTAGGAACAGTTTGAAATTCTATTTGATTCGACAGGCATCATGTAGAAAACTCATTCTATCCTATCGGCTATCAATATAAAAGGAAATTTTATTATATTTAATTTAACTCACTTCAACAACAAAGTATTTCAATCTTACTGTTGTTGCAATTTCACAGTTATTTGTGAACCTTTGAACAGTTTGTATGTAACTGAAATGTTACGTCTATACATACAAATGGATTCGACTAGTCACACCATATTTGCGATATAGTTCAATTGATCATTCAAAATACGTTGTTAATTAAAAATAAAGTCTAATTTATAAGAAAATCAATATTATAATAGCTTGAACATATCTAGTTTTAATATGGAATTGATATTTTTCTACAATCCAAAAAATTTACCTTGGCTTTCGATTAACTTCATTTGTAGAAAAATAGAAAATCACTATGGATTTCTGCAAGTATTAAAAAAATTGTTTAAATATTTACAGAGAATCGGGTGAACAACGGTTTACAGATAATGATTGTTCAGTCGTATACCTATAGTATTTGTTCGTTCTTTTGGTGTTGATAAAAACAATGAATAACTTCTTAATTAAATCTTCTCATTCTTGGTAGGAGATACTCGAAATACTTCTTCAATGTCATTCTTTTAATTCATCTTTTCTTTGTTTTAATATGTGTAATTTCTTCATATTGAAAATAGGATTTTTCATTTTGAGACATCCTAATTTTAGTTCACGAGTTTGTTTTATATATGAGCACTTTATCAGTATTTTTTTGCTTAAATGAATTCTTCAATTCGCATGCGTCTATTAGTAATACTTTGATTTGTATTCTGTATGTACAATGCTGTAGAATTGATATTGTCTCCATCGAATGAGTATTATAAGCTGTGACCTTTGAGTATTGTCAAAATTTTATATTGTGTAGTTACTGATGGAATTTGACTTTGTTTATGTAGACAGAAAGTTGTAATAAATTTTTTCATTTTCTATAAAATTTCCAGATTGTGTACCAAATCATTATTGATCACACTGTTTTGCATTCGATTCTTTTTTGAAAAAGGTGTTTATTTGAGTGAATATGAATGTGAGACCGAAAATAAAGTTATATGTGATTGCTCAGAAGCTGTTAAATTAATTTTTTAGTTATTTCATGCTCACCCCACTATCTGTGATCGACTATAATTTTTTCAGTTCTCTCTCCCTTACCAAAATATTTTCTTCCTTAATAAAATATGCATATTTAATGAAAATTCTGCAGTCAATAGAATTTGTGTTTTATTCAAAGATCCTAAGTTTATAAATGGGATCATTAGAATGCATTATAGTAGTTACTGATAGACTTAACTACTTACTTTGAAAATCATTGGCAAATTACATAGATTTTCAAAGAACAAACATTGTAGATTTCTTTTTCATTGCTGCAAATATTTCTATCTATGTTGAATAATATCAATCAAATAAGACAACAAGGATATCGCTTGTTTAAGATATTTTTGCATTATCTCACTGTCTTGATTTAATGGAAACTTAATCGTTAGATATGGATTATCTCAATAGATGATATTAAAATTAGAAGTAAAAGATAGCTACAAATTCGATTTCGCCTTTATTTCAGGTAACAATATTGTGTTATTCAAACCGATCAAGAAATCAAGTATGCCAGAATAGTATTTCTACTCATCTCGTTGATAAATGAATTTTTATAAAAGTTGATGAATACTGTTACACACGTCATTATTTGTCTAATACTGGAATTTTTTATGATAACTAATGATATTTTGAAGATCATTCCCATTTGCCTTCTTTTTCAAGTAATTTCTACATAGTTACTTTTCTCGATGACTTCCTTCTCTTTTGAATCGAAAAACTTGAATAATATCGAAAGATTTGGATCATATTGTTAATAATTATAAGCAAAAGAGATGACAAATAGAACCTCTTTTCTATTTATTTGAGCATTTAGTATATGTCAAATGTATTCCACAATAGAAAATTAATTCTTCATTGCAATAGGATATTATTCTACTTTGGTTGTAAGGTTTGACATAAAAAGTTTTACTAAACTGAAGAAAATATGAAGATGTACAAATGATATGTTACTACTACTTAATGGGAAATTAAAATTT